AATCTATGCCACGAAGAATTGAGGCAGTTCTGAAGGCAAAAGGGGGTCCAACCCGTTACTAGCGTGGTGTACCTAATAAAGTGGCCGGTGAGTGTATATTCACCATGATGACAGTAATAAAACTGTACAACATCCAAAAGGTGAGTACTTTTTAAAGGTGAGCAGTCGGATCAAGGAGAGCAGGGATTTACTGTATAATAAGTAAACAGAATTTAGGAATAAATTTTCACCTTAAAAATTGTGCATGGTTTCATTTAACTATTAAGTTTTTAATTTTATTTTAATAGCTTAGTTGCTCCTGCTTCATGTTTACTTGCTGTAGGCAGAAATAAACAGGTCTTACTCAAATAAAGGCCCACATGCTTGTAAAAACAGCAGTGTCAACACAAGGCTGACTGCAGCAAACAGGACATAAATGTTCAAAATGCTCTGCGCACCTACACTCCTGCTTTCAGCTCCTATCAGAACTCATCAATGCTCAGGTTTACATTAAACATATATGAACTCAATAAACATATAAAATATATAAAATAAACAAATATAACAAAGTAATTATATAATTATTTGCAATAAAAACAAGGAGGGTTATCGGACATGGAGTTCCACCTGCTGCAGTCCGAGTCACAGCTGCAGCAGAACAGATGAAAAATACTGAGTCATAAAACTGTTAAATAATAATAATAATAATAATAATAATAATAATAATAAAATTATTATAATGATAATAATAATAATAAGACAATAAACCTGTGCTGTTGGCAAATGTTAAACTAAAGTAGCCTTTAAAAACGCAACATAGTGCTGTCAGTTTACAGCCTGTGTAAGAAGCTAATGATCCTGAGGCTAAGTTAGCAGGACATACCTGAAACGGGTTGTTAAAGTCCGGTTCTGAGAACGGGTCGGTGTTGAAATGAGACATTGTTCTAACGGAACGATGCAGCTGGTTCCGTTCAGTGTCTGAAGACCAGAGCCCGGCCTGAACCAAACTAATAAAATATGTCGAGGAGACCAGGTGTTGATGGTTTCCAGTAACAGTATCCTGGAGGAACACTGGTCACCAGCTGAGCAGGATCAGGCGAAGAAAGACGTCACCCGGAAGCACGGAAACCTCCAAAATAAAAGCGTAAAATATCCAAATAGTTAAATAAAATGGGGTGCAACAATACATGTACCCCTGTCGAACCGTATCAAACAGAGCTTTAGGTTCAATACACACTTGTATGGATCAATACAGATTTATAAATTTACTTTATCAACTTGTCTTCTGAAGATGCTCTGTGTTGAAGGATCAGTGGATCTGTGTTCGACTACTCCACCTAGGCTGCATTTTTGAGCACAGATCCACTGAGACTACCTACCTGAGACTACCTACCACCTACCTACCTGCCTACCTACCGACCGACCTACTGATCGACATACATACCTACCGACCGACC